GGGAGACATAGTACATACACAATGGGGGGGGGGCACATGCCTATTATCCCATCTGGGAGACATAGTACATACACAATGGTGGGGGGGGGCACATGCCTATTATCCCATCTGGGAGACATAGTACATACACAATGGGGTGTGTGTGTGTGTATGTGTGTGCACAATGGGGTGTATGTGTGTATGTGTGTGCACAATGGGGTGTATGTGTGTGTGTGAAAATAATGCAAGTGGCCAGAAGAGAGAGAGAAAGAGAGAGAATAATGCAAATGGCCAGGCATAATGGCACATGCCTATAATTCTAGCTACTCTGGAAGCACAGCACAGGAGGACTTAAGTTCAATATTAAACCATGAAAAAAGTGACACTATAGGGCTGAGAAAGTGGCTTAGTAGTAGAGTGCTTGCCTAGCATGCACAAAGCTCTGGGTTCGATTCCTCAGAAAAAAACAGAAGTGGTGCTGTGGCTCAAGTGGTAGAGTGCTAGCCTTGAGCAAAAGAAGCTCAGGGACAGTGTCCGGGCCCTGAGTTCAAGCCCCAGACAAAAGTGTAAGACCCAATACAAAAATAATAATTATACCAGTTTCAGTACTGGAATGAATTTAATGAATGGCTAGAAGCATGGATCAAGTGGTAGAGCATCTACCTAAATAGTAAGATACCCTGAGTTCAAATCACAGTACAAAAAGAAAAAGGTCCTGGCTAGAAAATAACAGTCCTACATAACATTAGCAATTTATGATATATACATTACTGAACTTTTAATATACTTAAATACTGGGCCAGTAGCAACACAATGATGGTATGCATATCAAGAGCACAAACCCAAGAATTTTATCAGACGTTTACTTAAGAAAACTTAAAGAGGCCAAGGATATTTTTAGTAATACAATGCTTGTCCAGCATATAAATGGCTTTAGTTTTAATTCTGATTTAATCCTCAGAAACTCAAGGAAAAAATTAAAGAGGGGAAAAATGACTCATTCTACACATTAGAAAAGACATCAAAATTAACAATACCCAGACATACTACTTCAGTTTCTAATATGTACACCCTCAAAATCATGTCACATTCATTCCCAGCCTTTAAAGTATATGAGCCAAATACAAACCATTAGAAGAAAGAAGAAGGCTGAGTAAAGTGTCCAACAAGTATCTGATGATAGTACGTAACTGTTCTGTGGAAGATGTCTGAATTAAATCTTCAGGGTTTGACGTTTCACTCAGTGTCTTCCGACTTGCACCTACAGCTACTTTGAGCCTCTGCACTGCATTATGGGCCAAATTTAGTTGAAGCTGTAGCTGGATACAATCCTGATAAGCAGAAAAAACTCTACTGTCTTCCTCGACTGCCTTGTCTGGTTTTCGCAAAAAGTACTGTGCATTGTTAGCACTGTTGAGAGGAGGAAGATCTATACTTTGCAAAAGAGCTTCCAGACGATGACAAGCTAAGTTATATCTATAAGGAAAAATAAATTAACATAATAATTCCCATAATGTTCTCTTGATATATACATGTAAGCACACTAAGAATTACAACTCTAAAACATACAAGTATTAAAAAGAATTATTCCATAAGTAAGAACCAGTAGAGCCATGTATTCAATTACATTATTTCATGTAATGGGCTCATGTATCACTTCTTTCCTTTTGTATACGCCTATGGAAAAATATTCCTGCAACATTTTCTTGGAAGAAATACAAACAAGAAATCATATAAAGTACAGATTTTGAGTAAGAGTTAAATATATTTACAATTTTATACTAACCTGCACTGTATATCCTCTTGTAGAGCAACCATCATTGCTAAATGCTGGTCAATTTCTGGCTGGTTTGCAGCTTCTCCCTCTCCCCGTAGAGGATCATGCATTAACTTCAGTTCACTTTCCCAAGGTAAGATATAGGTATGGCCATAGTAAAACCCTAAAGGAATTTTGGCTCTTGCATTTGTACTTCCATAACGTCCAATGACAGTTATCTGAAATTAAAAATATATAAAAAAACATAAAATATAGCCATCATAACTTAAAAAATCTGATCAATGTATTAAAAACATATATCTCTACTTTTTAATGATGTCTAAATATTTTTCATAAATATAGAAAACGTACAAATCACTTCCTGAAATTTTTTTACCTTCATGAATCTGCACACAGGAGGTGGTATTAAGTCATGAAGAATTAGAGAATGAGTGCTTATATCAGTTGCCACTACCAATCGCCTTCCATCTACCTCCTCTCCTAATGTCCAAATGTCAATTGATAAAGAAGCCAAATCTCCACAAGTTGGAATCAATACATCTGTCAACAGTATAGGTCTTCCAAAATCCAGAGTTACAAATCTCCTGGCTCCTATGAAGTAAAGAGAAGCAAATGACCAAAGAGATGTATCCATTAACAAAATGATATAAAATATACTCTGGCCAGGTGCTGTGGGCTCCTATCTGTAATTCTAGCTACTCAAGAGGCTGAGATCTGAGGATCATGGGTTGAAGCCAGCCCAGGCAGAAAAGTCCCCTTGAGACCTATCTCCAATTAACCACCAGAAAACTGGAAGTGGAGCTATGGATCAAAATGGTAGAGAGCTAGCCTTGAGCAAAAGAGTTCAGGGATGGCACTCAGACCCTGATGCAAGCCCCACAACCAACCAAATAACCAACACCCCCCCCACACACACACACACTTTGGAGCTCCTTACTAAATAAAATCAACCTAATTATGAGAAAATAAGAGGAAAAGTACACAAGGAAAATTGGCCTTGTCAATTCTCATCCAAAAGCTTACTAAAACTCCAATCTGTATTAGTTTTGAACCTGAAGATGTAAATCAAGAGTTACAAGAGCAAGAATATTACTACTGAAGCAATCAACTGTACAAATAAGCTTCATTTAAAACATTAGAGTCTAAAAAATCAATAGGCAAGAGGCCAGGAACTGTCACTCCTGTAATCCCACCTACTCCAGAGCCAAGTTTAAAACTAGCCTAGATAAAAAGTAAACCAATCCCTAGTCCAAAGAACATACTGGGCACAGTGGTACACACTTGTAATCAGATAGCTGGCCGTACCCAAGCAAAAAGCACAATGAGAAGCATCTGGAAAAAAAACTAAAGCAAAACACTAGAGGCATGGTAAGAGTGGTAGAGTGCCTGTCTAGGAAGATACTATGCTTTGAGTTCAAAATCCTAGCAATAATGGGATAAAAAGGCACCTAAAGCAGCAAAAGACACATCCTATGTCTTCAGAAACCGCAAATAAAAAATAAATTGATATCTTTCCTGTCTCCTACTCAACACAAGGACAATATGATGAGTAAAACTGGGGGAAGATCATTAATAATGGAAGTCTTCTTCACTGAGATGGCATGAGCGCAGCCAATAGCTTTCTTAGCTATATATTGTCTTTTCTATTTCTAATGCTCAAAATTGAAACAAGCAGGCTAATAAACCATGTAAATGATGAGCAAACAAGCTGCCACTTGAGCTATACTGCCACCACCTATATTTTACACTGAATGAGAAAAAAAATCTGCCAGTACTGCTACTTAATGAGGTTGATTAAAACAGAAAGAAAGAAAGAAAGAAAGAAAGAAAGAAAGAAAGAAAGAAAGAAAGAAAGAAAGAAAGAAAGAAAGAAAGAAAGAAAGAGAGGGGGAGGGAGGGAGGGAGGGAGAAAGAGACAGAGACAGAGAAAGAGAAAGAGAAACAAAGAAAGAGACGGAGAAAGAG